GCATGGGGCGGGAGCAGCCCTCCCGTGGCGCGCGAGTGCGCTGCCCCATCCATGATTCTCAATGGATGGGCTCTGCTGTACTATGTACCCCATGTGGGGGTGTTTGTGTGCTAGCAGAGGTGTGCCACCATTTCTAGCAAAACTGTGTGTACTGGGGCTCGTCAAAAACCGGCCCAGAGGAGGCTTATGCTCGTTGTGGGCGCACCGTTCTGTCGGTAAGGGGAAAGGAAAAGAGGGGTGCCCCGAGTACAAATTAGAGGGTGAGAAGACAGTAGTGAGAGCGTCTCCACTTTTTTCGCGTGCTTCTTGTGTGGTTCACGGAAGCCGGGTCCCGGCTCTTGCAAAGGTAAACTCTTCAAAACTTTGTAGCCGCTGTCCTCGCTGGTCGGGTGCTCCTTTTTCACAAGCTACTTGCGCTTGTTGAGCTTGTCGAGCTTTATGCCCATCTGGATCACCTTTTGCGCCAGGCCTGACTTTGGAGCTGGTGCCCCCCGTGCTCGAGGTGGCAGTGCCGGCTCTGCAACCTTGGTGTGTCCTGGGACCCACTCTGTCTCTGGTTTGGGTGCGGCCTTCTTCGCAGCGGGTGCCCTTGGAGAGGGCGTTTTTTGTAGCCTGGCTTTCTGGTCGTACTCCTCGATGGCCCTTCTCTGTGCTATTGCCCTGGCACGGATAGCAAGTTCTTCCGTTGGTACTCCGCTCCGTGCTGAAGAGGACGCCACAGAGGTGTATTGCTCGGCGGGGGCGGCCCCCGCGCTGACGGGGTCGGTCCCCTTAGGTGCCTCGTTCTCCCCGAAGTCCATGATGTCCAAGAAAGCGGCATCTGACTCTTGTTCCCCAGTGTCACGCGGGATGTACTTGGTGAGCTTCGGGGGTACCAGTGGCTGCGGTTTGCCCGCTGCTGCTGCTGCCTTCCGGTGGCGGGTCTTCCTTTTTGCCGGGTCTCATCTTGGCCTTGGGGTACTCCTGCTTTTTGGGTGTCGCCTTTGACTTCGAGCTGGTAGTAGCCTGAAGTCGTGTAGAAGGTCGTTTCACGACGGTCTGCTTCGCTATCTCTTCCTCTTTCTTCTTGGTCTTCTTGGTCTCCCGGCGTTGGCTTTGTGCCTCCTTCTGCTTTTCGGTCTCCTGGCGTTGGCTCCGTGTCTCCTTCGGCTTCCCGGTTTTGTGTTGCAGGGCATGCTTTACCAAGATGCCTGTGTGGGCTGCTTCTGGTCTCTGTGCCGCTTCTCGCAAGAGCTTGTGAGCTGCCCCTGCACGTGCTTGGCTCTGGTAGAGTACACAAGGTGGTGCCTCGCGGTCGTGGCTGTAGTGTTTACCCCCTGCTCCTCTGCCGACTCCGAGTAAGCACCTAAGGCAGACGCGCTCGCCGTCCACGAAGACTGGGTCTGGCGCCTTGCTGGCATGCGGGTTTTCGTCTCAGCATCGTCGTCTTCCTTGGGTTTTGCATCGTCGTCAGCCGTAGGTGTTCTCCGCATTCGTGGTGTCTCTGCCACTATCACGTTCTTTACGGCCTCGGTGTCCCCCTCCCAGTCGGGTCTTTCAGTTGCGTCTTGTCGGGGTCGCCTCCGATGAAGAGGTGGTCGGTCTGCGGGATCCTGTCCCCCCTTTCTTGAACGATGTGGTAGTCCCTCTGGTGGTGCGTCTTCACTGAGAGGTCCGCTGTCACGTAGCATGTCGCCCCCCCTACTACCGGGCCACCTCCGGGGAGGGCCGGGGTCAGGGGAGGTCTTCGCTAGCCCTTGGGCACTTGTGAGCCCGACATGTTGCGGCGTGTGGTCTCAAGCCACCC